GCTCTATCACCAGTGAGGGCCACGCAGGAGGCAGCCGATCAATGATTCTCTCTCAGCATTGATGTTCCCATCTCTCCCTCTCCCTTCCTTCTGAAATCAATAAAAAAAATATATATTTTTTAAAAAGCTAATTAATATTAGTGAAAACATATGCAAATGCCATTGAGAACTAAAGGAAAGGAATGGTTTGAATACCATATGGGTAGGACATCAGCTAAGTATTTTCACATACTTCTTGTTATAATTCCATTTTAGGAATAGATGATAAAGGCAGTGTTAGGGAAGTTAAGATAATCAAAGAGCCAGAAAATGGAAGAGCCGGAATTTAAACCCAGGTCTTTCTAACTTTTGGATTTGAAATGGTTCTGAAATCTCTGCCTGAAAGCCTCTACCACACGACTTCGACCCCTGCCTTCTAAGCTCGGGGAGGAAGAGCTTTCCCGAGACGTTAAGGTTTTACGTGTTCCCAAGGCCCTCACCCCACACTCAAACAGAATAAGCACGTTTCCTCAGAGATAACGTGGAAAACTGCTCCAAAATGAGGAAGAATCCAAATCAAACTGGAGCCGTGACGCCACTGGAGGACTTACCCGCAGGCTGCTGAAGGCTTCCGGCAGGATGGAGGACAGGGCGTCGCAGGCGCTCGCCTGCAGGGTCGGGTGCTCTGCATTCTGCAAGGCCCGGGGCAAAGGGCCGCTCAGCATCATCGTCCAGAAGAGCACCACCTGGAACAGGCACAGTCAGAACCGCGGCCCAAGCGCAACAGTGGGACCAGCTCGCCACCAAGACCTCCACCAGCGACCGTAGTACTGACACAGTTTTCCTTCCGTGGTAGCTGGACATAAATGCTTTCATTAGGACTTTAAAAAACAGCGAATTAAATCTTTCAACTTTAATAACTGGGAAACTTCAGTGTGCTAGAGTTAAGCAGCACAGAGATAATAAGGAGGAGGAGGGTGAAGATGATGGTGACAGTAACAGTAGCGTTATGTTCTTCAGAGTTATGACGTGCCAGGCACTGTTCTAAGTGCTTTACATATATCAGCTCATTTTAATCCTCATTTATACAACTAAATGGAGTATATGTCATTATCTCCATATTGGCACAAGGGAACTTAGGCACAAAGAAATAATGTACCTTGCTAGTGGGCAGCAGAGCTGGACTAAAATCCAGGTCACTGACACCCAGGTAGAGTTCTTTCAACCAGATTCCTCAGGGGCACAGAGATCAGGGTCCCGGAGTGGTCTCTGGGCCATGAGCCAGAGGTGGAGCTGGGCTAAGTCCTTCAGCCATGGCTTCCTGTCTCTGCAACCTGGGCAAGTCACTAAGCCTACACTCTGGTTCCTCGTCAGTAAAGCAGGGCAGACATCTACCTGGCAGAGTTTGTGAGGTAAGAAAATGATACTGTGGCTCTAGTCAGTTTGGCTTAGTGGATAGAGAATCCTGCACACCTCCCACTGGGGACTGTGCCTGCAACCAAGGTACATGCCCTTGACCGGAATCGAACCATTCAGTCCACAGGCCGATGCTCTATCCACTGAGCCAAACCAGTTAGGGTAGTATATCCCATTTTTAAAGATGAAATAATACTTGAATGTGAACAGCTTAAGAGCCTTGCCCAGTCACTTGACAAACAAGGGGAGAAGTTTAGATTCTAAGCCAGGTCTCCCCTGATAGCAAAACTCCACTCATCTCCCTGCAAATTTCAGCTTTAGCGGCAGACTAAGGAAGGGACTAGGGCTAGATATTCTTAATTCCCTGCAAGGATGATGGAAACTGTGAAGGAAAAAGGATAAAGGGGATGAGGAGGGCAGAGGGAGAAAACTGTTGCATTGATTTTGCTTTTGGCACTAAGTAGGAGCCTTTTTGTGTGAGGTCACATGTTCCTTCTCCAAAGAAGAACTGGCACAGAGTGGGGGCAACAGACACACCTAAGATCTCACGAATTTCACTGAGTCAGGAAGGGGACTGGGGCAGGGGGGGACTGGCATTCATTGGGCACCACTGTTTGTCAGCACCTTTACCTCTCATTCACTCTTCCAACAGCCCTTGAGTTAAGGATTCTTGTTCCTCTTTAAAATGAAGAAACTATTGATATATTCACAAGCACATAATTAGCTGGTGCTCCCTAGATTTGATCTCTTGCCTTCTGAGTCTAAATTCTAGGCTCTCCTCACCCTTCTAGTCTGCCTCTTGGGTAAGCTAAGTAACCAAACCAGATTTTGTGCAAAATAAATAATTGGTTTTTGCATAGCAAATAATTGGTTACACATAATCTTACCACATCCTGACTGCAAGTAAACTGAAATGCAAATAAAACCCATTTATCCTACTATCTCATTATCCTAGATAATAAGCCATAAGTTTTGACATCAGAAGAAACACCCATTCCACTTTATAATTGAACCTAAAAAATAAACTGACTGAAGCACTAAGAGAAGAGGAATCTATGAATTGACATCTACTTACCATGGTGACGGGCACTCTCTGTTCAGGCACTAGGGTGGAATCTGGTTTGTATTGTTGTATTAAGCCTGTACCCAGTTCTTCCAGCAGCTATGAAGATAAAAGAAATAGGTTATCAAAGCAAAATATTAGAACTGTGGAGGTAAAAGATTACTTCCATGTGAAGATTACCTCAAATCAAGGGGAAAAATAATTTCCAACTGATTTTCTTTCTTTTCTATGTAACTTCTAGGTCAGAGGCATTCTTTCCAAAGCCAAATCACCAACTATATACTGTATTGTTAATTTCTTCCCAAATCAATTCTTTGGGTTTATACAGTGAGCTGAAAATAGAGGGATGGATGACTTTCCTACCAGAAACCTCTTGAAGAAACCTCTGATGAACATGCAACAGAAGGACAAATGTAAAAGGAAAAGAAGAAAAAGAGCGTGTGGCTTCAATTGAAAATCACCTTTGCTCCATGAAGCTGGATAGAAGGATCTGCTTCCCCCATGCACTTGCAAATCACCTCTCCAAGCTCCATCAAGTAGCCCTGAGCCACTGAGAAGTAGCCCTTTGACAGATGAGCCAACACCTGCAGAGAGAACAGAGCATGAGCTCCAACCCTGAACGCAGGGCTGCAATATCCAGAAAATTATTTTTTTTCTTCTTTTTTTAATATATTTTATTGATTTTTTACAGAGAGGAAGGGAGATAGAGAACTAGAAACGTCGATGAGAAACATCGATCAGCTGCCTCTTGCACACCCTGTACTGGGAATGTGCCCGCAACCGATGTACATGCCCTTGACCAGAATCGAACCTGGGACCTTTCAGTCTGCAGACCGACGCTCTATCCACTGTGCCAAACCGGTTTCAATTAGAAAAGTATTTCAATATTTCAGAAGCCACTCACACTTAACAAAGTGTTGAAATATGATGTTGAATGAAATGCAGAACAACCATAATCTTTATTTTATGGCTAAAATCAATGAACTACATCTTATAATTTTATAGTGCTTTATAATTTACAAAATATGTTTCATTAAGGTTATCAATATCATTGCATTTAAGTAAGCCTGGGTATAACTTTTTGAGGTAGGTCTTAATTTAACATTTCAGCTGAAGAAACTAAGGCTAAAAAAGTTAAAGGTTAAAGAGATTAATGAACATGTTTGATATTAAGCAGATAAAGACCCCAGGACCAAACCTGTCTTAGATCATACTTGAGTACAGAAAAAGCAAATACTTTAATCTAGAGTTGTTTTCTTCCTTTCAGGGAGCAATTGTATTTTGTTGCCTCTAAGCAGATAGAAGATCAAAGATTAACTACTCAACCAATTTGGCTCAGTGGATAGAGTGTCAGCCTGTGGACTGAAGGGTCCCAGGTTAGATTCCAGTCAAGGGCACATGCCCAGGTTGTGGGCTTGATCCCCAGTAGGGGGTGTGTAGGAGGCAGCCCGTCAATGATTCTCTCTCATTATGATGTTTCCATCTCTCCCTCTCCCTTCCTCTTTGAAATCAATAAAAAAATATTTTTAAAAAAGATTACATAATTTCTTTCAGAATTACTATATACATCTATCTGTCATATAATACCTGAGGTGACTAAAATGGCCTGCAATGAAAATGAATGAACCTGACATTTTACAACGAAAGCCACAACAACCTTAACCAACAAGCAACAATAAACAAGGCACCCACATCTACACTACAGCTCCCACTGACACAGTGGACATGTGGCTCAGCTTTACATATTTTCACTCACTCCTCCCCACACCCTCTGAAGGAAGAAGAATTAACTTCCGCTTCTGAGACGAGGAAATGACGCCTCCTACCTGTAAGGCCTCCAGCCGCATGGGGGACGGCATGTAGGTGCTTCCGGCCGCGCAGCCAGCATCGCTGCCCGAACAGGAGTCCTCCCTGGGCAGCACAGCAGTGGAAATGCAAAGCCGAACGAGCCAGCAGGGCTCTGACGACCCCGGCGGAGAGCTGACGGATGCTTCTTCCAGAAAGCGTCCCGAGGGGGCTTTCTTCCACCTGTCAGGGGGGCTGAGGTGAGGAGTGGCTGAGTCGCTATTGCTGAGGCCGGAGGAACAGGGCTGCTGCAGAAGCAGCTGAACTTCGGGTAAAGGTGCGTGAGTGGACACTATGGCTCCCAAGAGCGTGAGACTTGACACACGAACGTTAACATCTGTCAGAGGTAACAGTAAGAATCCATCACCATGGGAACAGCTGTTAGAAGGACCATAGTTATCCCTGCAAGCAACTAAGAATTATGGTCTCCTTGTTTAATCTGGAGCTAACTGAACCAGACCTATTTACTAGCTTATAGGAAATACAGGGGACAGAAATGAAAGTTAACGCTATGAAGAAACTATCAAATAAACTGAGAACGTGAGATATTCGATAGTCCATTGGCTTGGACTTTTCCTAAACTCAGTATCACTAAAGAAAAAAAAAAAAAGGGTTGGGGGCTATTCTAGATTTAAAAAGGCTAAAGTGACATGAAAACTAAATGTAATACATAAACCTTGAATGAACATAGGTGGTGTTTTTTTTTTTTTTTTTTACAAATTTGCATGTCATATTTGCACAGGGGCCATGGTAACCTCTGTATCATTCCAATTTTAGTATGTGTGCTGCCAAAGCGAGCACTGAGCTGTTTTTCTTTCTTTTTTTTTTTTTTTTTTGTAAAGCTATAAAAGACTTTTGGGAACACATGGGGAAATTTAAATGTGGATAAGATAGTAGATAATATTATGGAATATGAATATGGAATCAAAATATAAATTTCTTAGGTGGAAAACTGTCACAAAAAATCCACACTTCCATCATGTTCTGTAATTTTGAATACAAAACTCAACTTTTCAGAATGTGGTCAGATCATAAAGCTTGCAAACAAAAGAAAAACAAATGTTTTAAAGGCAAGTGTTTACAGTACATACACAAGTATATGTACTGTAAACATAATTTACAGTTGTTCATATGGAAAATACTACAATAATTAATAAATAATACAAGATGTTTCACGTACTCACAACTGTAACCCTAGTTTTGCCTCCCCCTGCACATTATATGTGGAAGAAGTCAGGAAATGCCAAGAAATAAGACTGCAGTTACTGGGGATTTGAGGTTCTGGAATTTTAACTGATCTTCAGAGGAAATAAAGTTAAAGAAGTTAGGTTTTTTTTTGTTTGTTTGTTTGTTTTTTTAAATATATTTTATTGATTTTATACAGAGAGGAAGGGAGAGAGATAGTTAGAAACATCGATGAGAGAGAGTCATCGATCAGCTGCCTCTTGCACACCCCCTACTGGGGATATGCCCGCAACCAAGGTACATGCCCTTGACCGGAATCGAACCCGGGACCCTTCAGTCCCAAGCCGACGCTCTATCCATTGAGCCAAACCGGTCCCAGCAAGAAGTTAGGTTTTATATTCCAGTTTTTCTTTTTAAAAAGATGATGTCTGTCCACCCATCCTCTACTTATGACTAAGGGGTATAAACTATTACATTTTATGTAATAAAATGCGCTTGGCTCAGTCTAAAGGGATCCCTGATTACTGCACTGCATTAGCAAAGAGGCATTCAACTTCACAATCAGTTTTCCAGCTCACTTCCATCAGTGGTACTGCAGAGGTCAAAAGTGGAGTTCTAGCCATTGGGTTCTCCTAAAAACTTGGGGGGTGTAAGTGGCGATATCTTACAGCTATACAATTGCTGTGAATATTTTTAAACTAATAATGTAGATCTGACTGATATGAAGAAGCAAATAATTTTAAACTACTACCAACCTTTGTGGCGGACGTAAGGCTTTATTTGGTTCCAGACTTTGGTCAGCAGGCTGAGCTTCAGACGGTTATAAGGCGAATTTGATACTAAATTTGCAAGGCACTGCAAAGCACAAGAATAACTGCTCAACAGACCTGATTGAGCCATAACATTAAAGCAAAATTTTACAGCATTTAATTTAAAAAGAAGTCTTCACATTTATTTGAAAATCACTCATTTTCTTTTCTGTCTTGGGGGGGGGGAGGGGAGAGATAGCACTTGTTTTCTCATTGGTACAACTTAAAACTAAAAATAAATGAGTGGTTGCTTTTTTTAGTAAATCCTTTATTTGGACGTACAGGGGTGGTAGGTAATATCAAACAAATAGGTACAAATAGGATATCTTCAAATAAAATGACCCCTTAGTTATATTCTTAAGTCAAGTTACTTTTAAGCATTGCAAAACATTATACAAAATTGGAACAGATAAGTTGGCACATGTACCTTAATGATCTGAGTGAGGGTCTGTGAGGATGACTCGGCCACCAACGCCAACAAAAGACACCTGTGCAGCTCTCTGATGCTGGAAGCGATCATGACAGAGAAGGGCGTAAAAGCCCTCCTGTGGTCGCTGGTATCTTCAGCCACAGAGAGAAACTGCTTTGAGCCTTCCAAGATGGCAGACAACGCCTGCAGAGCGCAGGCACGCGTCTGAAATTTCAGGATGATTCACATCAGTTAGCCAGATCCCCTTCCTCCTATATACAGTTTTCATTTTCAAAATGTTTAGGATCATTTTAATTGGAATAAAAGCAATGGGGTTAGCTACCAGGTCCTAAAAGTAGCCATGAGCTGGGCAAACAACAGAGACTTGTAAAGTTTTCCTTCCTACCATAACACTGAGAACCTAAAAGCTCTTACCTTTGGGGAAGGATCTTTCAATGTAAGAGTCATCAAGGAGACAGACTGTGGGCTTCCAAGCTCAGGGGTGTCAGAGACAAAGGCTGACCAGTAGCCATAGAGGACTTTCTTTTCTATTGATTTTATAGTAGAAAGAAAACAAGCTAATGCTCCTTGGCGAACTTTGGCTTGGTAAGACCTTGAATAACCAAGAGAAAAAAGGAAAAAAAAAAAAGCCTTTTAATATTCTTAAAAGTATAAGCATGAAATAAAATATATTTCAGCCAACTCAAATGATACATTGAGAAATTCAACATTCTAAGTCCTAACGATGCTAATACGATATCAAAAAAGTATTTTTCAAAATACAATGAAAACATGTTAAAGCAATTTGTTTATATAATGTATTGATAAAATCGACAATTAAAAAACACACAACTAGATAGAGAGCAAAAGGGCAGCATTTTGATGTTAGGAAACTGAAGAGAATCCATTCATCCAATGAACCTGTCCTGAGTATCCTCGAGGCTGTGCCAGACATTGTGCTGAGGTTGGCAGACATAAACCACTGACAGGCGGCTTATTAATGGCACAGATAGAGCTGAAGAGATAACTACAACACATTATGTTGGCACTAAGGTACAGATAAGTAAAAAGGTCATATAGCAGAGGTACCTAAGCCAGAATGGGGGCGGGGAAGCTCAGAAAAAGCTTCTCAGAGGACATGACTGTGAGTAATGGTTAACAAGACAAAAAGACAAAAAGTAAAACAAAAAAGTGAAAGAAAGAATGTTCCAGGCAGAGACACCTCATGCAAAAGGCAAATCGAGAGAATAGGCAAAGTGCAGAGAAATGCAAAGTCCCACATAAATTAGAATATTTAAGTTGAATCACATGCAGCAGTCAGTGTTTTAAGAAAAGTTAAAAAAACTTACATGCAAATTGGAATATAAAAATATAACAAAATACTACTACCTCATCTTACTCTGCACGCCTCCTTCAGCATCAGAATAGTCTGACTCACTACTGCTGATCCTTTTCCAGCTGGAAGAACTGAAGGGTGAGGAGACTCCACCTTTTCCTGCCGCTCCGCTTCCATCTAATCGCGAACTCTGGACAGCCGAGGAGGAGGGAGACTGGGTGTTCCCTTCATGCACGTTCGCTCTGCCCACGCCGGTAACTGGGGCTGCTTCTCTTTCACCACTGGACCCTTCCTCCTCCTCTTCCTCTTCTTGCTGGATTTTCTTTGGTTTTGTTTTTGATTTTTTCTTTCTATTCTGATGATAAGAGCAAATGAAAACACACACACACACACATATATACATATACACATACATATATATATATTATAGTGATTTCAAAACAGTTTCTAACTGAGTCACTGGTCCTTTCCCATTTATTAATTACCAAATATGCCCCCAACATGTAGTTGAAAGAAGTAAAAAAAAGTGACACTTAATAGTGCTTACACATACCCCTGTCTACATTAATAAAAGAAAAAGATGCAAATTGACTGCACCTTCGCCACGCCCATCAGACAATCAGGAGTGAGTATGCAAACTAACCCAACAAAGATGACAGGTTAATCTGCATACGCAGGCACCATGTGGCTGGGGAGCTGGGTGGGGATGTTCCCTGGGCCTCTGGGCAGCGTGGGAAGGCTGAAAGGCGGCTCTGGGCCAGAGCGAAGGCAGTGCCGGCAGTCAGGGGAAGGAAGGCCCATTCTTGCACGAATCTTTGTGCATCGGGCCCCTCGTGGGATTATAAGAAGCAAGGTGTGAAAAATGTGGGACAGCAAAACTTGTGGCCTGGGTTGCCAGATATATTCCACCTCTGGTCCTGGGCAAATCACTTAGCCTCTGTGAGCCTGACCTTCATCATTTAAGTATAAGCCTAACACTCCTACCTGGCACAGTTGTTGTGAAAGCATTCAGCCTTCTCAACTGGGGTTCTGCAAGAGAATCGAGCTCTATAGAAAATGACGAGTGTCAGTTCTCTCAAACAAGACACATCGTTAATACCACTCTAGATGTATAGGAGAGACATTAACCCACTAAGTACATGCATGTTTTAGAGCACATGTGTCAAACACAAGGCCCTCGGGCCAAATCCGTCCCGCCAGGCCTTGCAATGTGGCCCGCACCGCGCTGTCATCACTGCACTCTGCTGCGTTTCCATCACAATGACAGTTTATGACTGTTCAGTAAACCATTCGGCCCGCGATTTAGGCTGGATTTTAGATTTTGGCCCCTTCTCTGATTGAGTTCGACACCCCTATTTTAGAGCATTAGGGCTTTGTAGGTGTAGATATTAAGTAAAAGCCAGTTACTTTTCTCCTACTGCTTTTTGACATCTAAAAATCTTTAGAATTCATACTCTTCTGCATTCTCAAAATCCATGACCTTGGGGAAGAAGGTCCTTATCACTCCTATCTTAGATTATTAATGTGGCTCCAGACTCATAACCTTTTACTTGCTACCAGTTACTTTTCTAAAATGCAAATCTTTTCTCCCTCTGCTCTATAAGATTCTTTGAATCTCTACCCACTATATGATAAAAGTCCAAATTCCTTAGCATACTATACAAAACTCTTATGACTTGGCCTCTGCTACATACTTGACTGACCCCTCCCTTCTGCACATCTGCCACTCTACACCTACTGGTTAACGATGGCTATATGCACTCTCATCTTCTATATTTTTTGCATCTTTTGTTCCTTCAAAATAACAATGTTCCTTTTCTGTTCTAATACTCTTTCTGGAGTCTCAGTTTAGCCACATCTTTTAAGAAGTCTCTGACTTCTCAATTTGTTTGGATGCCCTGAATGTGTTCCCAAAGTCTCTGTGAATATGCTGGTGAAAGAAACCCCAAGATTGCATTGTAGGTGTTTATTTATCCATCTTCGCCTTTCCCTTCAAACTCCTAAAAAGAGTCTACTGTGTGTATTAGTTAATAATTCGGACTTTTTTCAATATGGAGTTACA